GAACGTTAGACGCAGTCACTGAAGCAAGCAAGCCTCATGTTCAGTTTAAGCTGCCTGGCTGCCGGTTGCCATCTTGGCTGTCAGTTAATTTGCATATCTCGCTGATTAGCCAATGGGAAGGGTAGCGGTTGTACGCCAATTACCATGTTTCTCTTTTATTAGTGTAGATGATAATCATATCATAACAACCAAACACAGACAAATAATATTAGATAGTCTTGCAAAAAGACTAAGCACTCTTCTAAAATAAATATGATATTGAAGGAGAGGGGGATTAACTGGGGAACTTATATGCATATGTGCATAGCCCATGGACACAGAGAATAGTATGGTGATGACTTGGGAGGGGTGGGTGTAGGGTGGAGGGGGTCAATGGGAAAAATAAAAATAGAACAACATCTGTACTTTCAACATTAAAGATAAAATAAGTAAATAAATAATAAAGAAAAAATAAAACAAATATTGTATAACTAATGAAGATGTCTATATCAGCAGAATATATAGAATAATCATGCAAAAAATATATATATGTAGGTCTGGCAGAAAAACAAAGGTACTGTGGAAAGGAAGGGAAATCAAAGTTAATTTGACACATCAGGTGGTTTTCTGTACCCTTGTTAGATATCTTACAGACTTAGGAATCTGTCATATAGATTTTTAAAATATATTTTTATTGATTTCAGAGAGGAAGGAAGACGGGGAGAGAGACAGAAACATCAATGATGAGAATCATTGATTGGCTGCCTCCTGCATGCTCCTACAGGGGATCGAGCCTGCAACCTGGGCATGTGCCCTTGACCGGAATTGAACCTAGGACCCTTCAGTCTAGGCCCACACTCTATCCACTGAGCCAAACCAGCTAGGGCAGGTAATCTGTTATATTTTGGCAGCAAATTAAGACAATACTTCTTGATTACTGCCAAAGCACTGCATTTCCATCAAACTACAAATTATAGAATACAAAGTGAGGCAAAAGTAGGTTTACAGTTTTTCACTAGATGTACCGGTTAATAATGCAGATTTTGTAATCAAGAAAGCACATTAATTTCAAGAGAAACATCAAAAATGCTTTATTCAAAGTAATGTCCATCACTAGCTATACATTTCCCCATCTTTCAGGTAATTTGTGGATACCGTCCCAATAGAACTTTTCTTGTTTTGAGACAAACCATTCAGAGACCCAATTTTCCGTTTCTTTGTACGTTTTGAAGTGCTGCTCAGAAAGTGCGCATGCCATCGATCAGAACAAGTGGTAATCTGAAGGAGCAAGGTCAGGTGAATACAGAGGGTGGGTTAATACTTCCCAGACAAGATCTTTTAACATGTCTTTAACTGGTTTTGAAGTGTGTGATGGTGCGTCATCATGAAGCAGAATTACTTTGCCGTGTCATCTGGCCCATTCTGGTCGTTTCACGATCAAAGTATGGTTCAAATTGATTATTTGTTGTAGGTAGCGATCAGTATGAACGGTTTCACCTGGTTTTAGCTCATAATACACCACACCAAACGCAGAGCATTGTCTTCTTGCCAAAGCAATTTGGCCTTACAGTCAATGTTGATGGTTGACCTGGATCAACCCACGATTTTGTGCATTTGGGATTCTCAAAATAAATCCACTTTTCATCGCCAGTCACAATTCAATGCAAAAAAGACTTTCGTGCCATTGAAGCAACATTTTGCCGATGACTTTTGGGTTTTCCATTTGTCTTTAGTTCAGTTGATGTGGCACCCATCTTTCCTTTAAAATCTTTCTCATTTCTTTTTTTTTTTCTTTTAATATATTTTATTGATTTTTTTACAGAGAAGGAGAGGGATAGAGAGTTAGAAACATCGATGAGAGAGAAACATCGATCAGCTGCCTCCTGCACACCCCCTACTGGGGATGTGCCCGCAACCAAGGTACATGCC